CAGATGTACTTGGCCTTGCTTATGTGTTCCTCGGAAGGATTAGCTGCGAATTGAGACAGCTTGACAACAGCGTAGGCAATATCTGGGCGAGTGCCCAGCATCAAGTAAAGCACAGATCCAATGATCGATTGGAAGTAATGGCGTCGTTTCGCATCGATAGGTCCAGTATGTTCGAGGGGCCTATAACCCTCAACCATCGGTGTAGGTGCCGGTCGGCAATCCTTCATATCAAAATGTTCCAGGACTGTGCCAAGATAGGCAGACTGGTCCAGACGGATATTTTGTCCGTCACGTCTGATCCTCATTCGTAAGAACTCGGTTGGATTTTCGAAGTCTCGACATTCCCACTTGAGCTTGAATGCCTCTTTCTTGGCATTAACAAGTCTCTTGTTAGGACCCGCGAAGATGAGATCATCGATGTAGGCAATCATGATGACAAAGCCACCATATCCATCCTGAAGGATGAAGATACCGGTATCGGTCGATAGTCGTTTGAAGCCAAGAATCTTCATCGACTTTGCAAGTTCCATGTACCATGCACGGGATGCTTGCTTCAGACCATAGATAGCACGAAGGAGCCGGTACACCTTGTGCTCTTTGCCCTTCATGACAAAGCCTTCGGGTTGACGCATATAGATCTCTTCATCTAGTTTCCCATAGAGGAATGCGGTCTTGACATCGACTCCGGTGATATGCCAATCCTTGAGAGCTGTGAGAGCTAACATGGTTCGGACTGATTCAAAACGAACCACCGGTGAGAAAATCTCGTTATAGTCAATGCCTTCGATTTCTTGGAAACCCTTGGCAACAAGTCGGGCGCGTTTACGACCGTCAGATTTGACGTCGAATACCCAGCGATTGGTAATCGCTTTGCGACCTTTGGGAAGATCGACCATTTCGAATACTTCGCGTTCAGAGAGTGCCTTTAACTCATCTTTGCAAGCATCGATCCATCCTTTCTTCTCCTGCGGTGGCATCCGCAAGATGTCTTTAAACGTCCACTCGCGTGGAGCGCTATCGACAGAAGGAACTGAAGGCAAAACCGCTTTAGAAAGCAGGAAATGCATAAAATTCACTCCCCCTTCACGCGTCAAGCGTTCTAAGTCCTCAGGTATGTCAAAAGTCGAATCAGATTCACTTTCGGACACGGGAGTAGCAGGTTTCGGCGCGGGAACACCTTTTTCCTTGCTTCCAGCACCTTGATTAGATCCAGATGGCCGTCTGTCATCTTTATCAAGTGCTTTTCTCCGATCCGTCTGATGCTTTTCTGTCGGAGTTTTATTTCAGTAGACATCGCCAGGCTGAGACTTGGTTTGGGTCCGATTCCGCGCAGATCTCCTTGGTTTATCACCAGGAGCGTTTCCCGGCGCAGGGTTCGGCGGGTGCTGGTCAGCTGGTTGTTCACCAGCGTTCCGATCGTCGGCACGATCAGGACCGCTACCTCTTTGAGGGGTTTGGGAGTTTGATGGACGAGGAAGGAAATCATCATCGTCATCATCATCTTCAGATTCAGATGGAGGTCCATCATTGCCAAACGAGGAAGGTGGGTAGTCTTCAACTCGTGGTTGGTCTTGAGGTTGTTTGGCATCAGGACACCTTGGGAAGTGAAGTTCATCAAAGCGAGCAGTAGTCGCCTTGAATAGAACATTCCTTGGCGATCTCATGAAGAGATACGCCTTCATGCCTTCTGGGAATCCTAGGAAGATCATGTACTCCGACCTTGGAAGGAGCTTGTTAGATTGTTGTTCCTTGGGAATATACACCCAGGCACCACATCCGAAGACTCTTAATTTAGAGACGTCTGGAGCTTCTCCTTCTACAGCCTCGTGTGGAGTAATCCAACCAAGACGCTTGAGAGGTGTCCGGTTATACACGTAAACGGCGTATAGAACGGAAAATTCCCACCATGATGGAGGTAGGCAAGCGTCGTGACGCATTGACTCAGCCTTCTCCATGATAGTGCGATTGAAGTGCTCAGCGCGTCCGTTCTGCTGATGCATATACGGAGCGCTAATTGATAGCTTGATTCCTTTTGATTTGAAGAATGCTATGAGTTCTTCGTTGATGAATTCTCCACCACCATCCACCTGCCATTCTTTGATTTTCTCATGGTATATTGTTCGAATTGCACAGCAATACTCTAGGAATACATCGTCGTCTAGCATATTCATATCTAATTGAACAAGCTGTAGAGGCAACGAGTTAGCCAAGTGTTTCCTGAAAGGAATAGAGGGGACGTACTTATCGTCGTCATAGTGCCCGGTCCTCAGAGCGTCCCAGTCCGGTAGGTAGACGGATGGTTGTGCATCTGAAAGGCGATCTGATCCATTACGATCTGGATGTTCGCCTCCCATCCCGTCGTCGGAGCCCCAGTCGGAGACTTCGTCGTCGGGGTGGAGTGGGTCCTCCAGTTCTCCGTCTCGGATCCTCTCCCAGACCGTCTTGGGGGCGCCGAATAGCGAGGGGTCCTCGCCTTCGTCGCCGAGGGAGACGCTGTCGTCGTCTTCCCCCAAGGCATCGGTGTCAGAGAGTCCGTCCAGTGCTTGTGAGCCGTCGCCTTCCATAGGCAGTCCAGATTGACACACCATGGTTGGTTGGGGAACATCGACCCCTTCTCCAGATCCACCTTGTGCCAGTGGGGGAGATGGGAGTCGGTGCAGAGGCGAGCTGGCCTCATGCACCTCAGCCTGTTCGATGGGCTCGAGCGATCTTTGACGTTTGGGAGGCCTGGGAGAACTGATGCGGTCAATAAGTGCTCGCTTCCGCTTATCCGCTTCCTCGAAAGATTTGAGGTTGCGGGCGGTTTTTGGTAGATCGAGCTTACCGCAGTTCTTCCTGGCGCGTTCCACGTCGGGATAGCACGAGGTTTCAGTGGACGGAGCGACCTTGGCTTTAGCAGCCGAGGCCGGGAGATGGGTGGATGGAGTAAGATCGACAGATCTTTGGACGATAGAGGGTCCGGTCTTCATGAATGAGAGGACCGAGACCTTGGCCTGGGGAGGCACATGCTCCTGAGGAGCGGGAGAGACGAGATGGTCGCCTAAGAAGGCGGCCTGTACCATGTGGGAGTGACCTTGCGACTTCCTTTCCTTCTCCTTCTTCTTGTTACCACCCTTGGATCCGCGCTTCTTCCCTTTGTTCTGGGAAGAACCCGAGTTTTGGTTACCCGAGTTGCTGGAGTCCTTCTGCTGCCCCTGTTGCTGCTGGCGGAAGTTAGGGTTTCCCCCTTTCCTCTTGATACCAGTGAACTTGTTGAGGGTAGCCGGGTTGGCGACGCGATTGTACTCAGCCGTGATGGCTTTGACGGTGGTCTCGAAGGTGAGATCCTTCTTGTTTTTGTTAAGAAGGATGGCGACGGTGTTGTCGTACTTGGTAGGAAGGCTACTGATCAATATCATCACCTCGATGAACGAGTCGATAGAGACGTTGTTCGTAGCAAGTCGACCCAGGTAGTTTTGGAGCTCGGCGATCGCAGGGCGAGGATCTCCAGTTCCGATATGGAACTTGATTGCTCGGGAGAAATCCGCGAAGATCGCGGCGTTGCCCGGACTACCGTAAAGCTCCTTGAGAGCATCCCATAAGTCCATCGTCGTAGATTTGCCCGCAACTTGAGCGCAGACGTTTCTGTTGATACGAAGGAGGAGGGCTCCCATAGCCTGGTCATTGTCCTTGTCCCATTTCGAGATTACCTCTTCCTGAGCCAGCTTCTCCGCCGCAGTGGCATCTGAAGCGGCACCCTCAGGACGAGTACCATCGATGTAGGATCCTAGACGTTGCATTTGGAGGTATTGCTCCGCACACATGGCCCATTCCAGGCAATTGGTACCATCGAGCATGGGGATACTGTTGTGAGCGTTGTTAGAAGACATTCTGCTGATTGTTGAGATCTGTCAAAACAAGGTTCGTCAGCAACGTATATCACAGATCAAAGAAAGCAGCCATAACAGCGCGTTCTTTGCCCCATTCTGCTGCCATTACAGCGCAGATCTCTGCTGCCATAACAGCGCAGAGTAAAGGCATAGGTTCGGCCTATCAGCCACTTGGTTAGACGTGCATAGTTCGCAACGGTGAAGCGCAGACTAGTAGCAGTCTATGGAGGCAGCCATTACAGCGCCGACCAAGTTTGTAGAGCAGCCATTACAGCGCATCTACTGAGCTTCGGGCCTCATAACCTGAAGAACACTACTGCGACTAGCGAGTAGGTCTTACCGAGTAGCTTGTAGGCTTAGTTGGTAGGTTAAAGTGATAGCGATTGAGGTAGCTACGAGTGTCCTTATATACATATTTGAGTGTACTAATAATAGAGCAGTGTAAGCAGTCACATGTATGTATGAGTCAGTATGAGTCGGGAAGACGATAGAATGACGAATACTCTAGATGTCACATAGCCTCATAAGTATATATCTAGGAGAGTCCGAGTCGGAGATAATCCGAGTCGGATAGTCGCGAGAGTCGCGAGTCGAATCTAATCTACATAAGATAAGATCAACACTGTGAAAGTCGTCCATCGCGTCCTTTCCCAATCCGAGTCAGAGGATCCTGCAAAACCTTGACAGTGTTTGGAGCACTCCTTAAACCAGGTGCACCTCCCGAGTTGGCCCTCTCCTCGATTCATATTTATGGGTTGTCAGAGAGCCATCCGAAGCTATAAAAGCGGCATCTATGCCAAGGCTATATTTCCTTTCAGCCGGCTCGAACGGCTGACATTGTCAGTCAATTGGAATGGACACCAATTCAAGCTTCTATCGCTGCACGTGCCAATTGAAGCGCTCTTCCAGATGAGTGAAGAAGGATTATACCAACCCCTGGTCTTTATCCGATAGATCCACCCCCCAGATTAACGCAGACGGAGTGTAATGGCTAGGATCTTTCAACACACCGTGCAGTAAGATTTGTAGAGGGTTTTCTTCATGTCATTTATTCGTCTGTGGAGAATGCTGCTCGACTTCGCTTTCAGGACAACGCCTCTCGGAACACCAATCCCCAATAGGCATTCGACCGGCCTGATGGTCTAGTAGCATGATTCCTTGTTAGAGTTCCCTCCGGGCGCTTATTTCTGAGCGCTTGTTTGGTGTCACTGTTTCGAGGAGGTCCCGGGCTCAATTCCCGGTCAGGCCCATCAAAAAAGACCTGTGGGAGATGTCTTTGCAATATCTTTTTCTCCAGGTTGATTAGGGGAAGCTTCCTTCGGATAAGTGATGTTGTTGACTCGGTCGGTGCTTTGATCACCCTTTTTTGCTCTACTTTATAATATGGTCATGGATACCTCGAGGCTCGATATCTTCTCGCTTCTTTCTATTTAAAAAGGTGCATGCCTCTCGTTATCACTATCACTGACTTGGGCTGTATGCGCCTGGCCCGAGTCCCATTGCAGATTTCCCAATAAGCCTTTGTCCCTCCTCTTGTCATTGGTCAAGTAATCGGCAGGAACGAGGAAGCAATGGCCGACAAATGGTCTTTGATACGATCCTCGCAAAGGCGAAAGTAAAAGAGATTCACTAGACCAACTCAATGGCAGTGTCCCAGCTAGAAGGAAACAAACGGTAAACTTAAATACGAGTGCTTCCTCTGGCCCGCAAAATACTTGCCAGATTGATCTAAAGTCACCTCTGATCTTGCACCTGCTTCCCGAAACTCGTAGCACGTTTGACTAGAGACCCTTCAGCAATAAGACCTTGGTAATGAATTTCTCATTCCTCCTCACCATCCAGCCGACTTGAACGACTGACCTCGTCATTTTGTAAACTGAATGGTCAAGTAGATGCTAGTGACGCACTCTACCCACTGAGCTAAGAAGGATTTTGCTTGAACTTTGAATGGCGCATCAATACCTCACTTCCCTCCATCATTGTATAAAATTTAAAGCAGGCAGCCACAGATCGATTGCGAAGTCAACTGGGAGGTGACTTCCAAATCGTCCTGAATCCGCTGATGGAAGATGATCAAGTATCGGCCGGAAGTCAAGAGGAAAGAGAGACTCGAGGAGCTCGGAGTCAGACTCATGGCGGCGGCTTTGCCGCCGCAGCACACCAGAGACGCCCTTGAGACGCTGCAAAGTGCTTGCCCGTGTGCTGCATGCACACGGGCCAACTTCGAGTACATTACTAATTCAGCTCACCGGACTCGACACCGCTTTCCTCAAAGCCAAAGACACACACCTTGGAGGTGTAAAAGCCACAAATTTAAATGCGCATCCATCCGAGGAGAGTTGGGTCGCTTCTCCCATGAGAAGCACTCTTATCGATGCCAATGTTTCTGGTGGTGGAAGGATATCTGACTTCTGGCAGCACCACTTTGGCTATTCGCAACTGTGCAGGCGGCAGACCTTTGGCTAGGTTCTCTCATGAGGCTGACATTCCAGGATTTTGGGTGGCATCAGAAAGGAAGCGTGAGCTCCTGCAGTACTGTAAGGCCCGCTTTTTTCTCCACTACCCTGGATGTTTCGCGCAGCAATACATAACACAAGAAGGTGTTCAATTCGCAGCTCGATCTGCTTGCTTGGTTGGCTCACAATGTCAAGAGTTCTCTGGTTTCTACCATATTTGTCTCTTTGAAATCCAACCTCTCCGTTTCTGGTGATTCTCTGGAGATGATCGATGTTGGGCGACTTCCTCAGCTTCTTTGGTGGTGATTTTCATCTCAAGGTGATTCCCGCTCTACAAATAGATCGAATGATCGCCAGGGGGGATGCCCACAAGATAAAACTCGATGGGTGCGGCTCGATACCTCTGCGTGATGTTGAAATACTCTTGGCGAGCTTTGGAGGTCGAGCTGTTCGAGTTGCTCGCTGAAAATTGGTATGGACCATAGCCGTCCCGTCCACCATAGCAGGAATCTGGATGTTGAACGGCTTCAGAAAGGACAGTGGCGGGGCTTCTCTTTTCCTACTTAAGGATGGAATATGGAGGAAGGCTCAAGCTGTCGGGGCTCATCATGTTATGACCTTATGACCTATGACATCACCTATTACATCATTAGCACATGTTTACCACACCTTTTTCATTTCTCTCCATTCCTATCATTTTTCATTTCATTCTCATCATCATCTGACCACTGCGGACTACGCCTTGCTACTTACACGCTTTGATACGCATGTTATCCTTGAGGCCTACGCCTCACCTCTACCATGCGCTTCTTACTATATATACTCTACATATCTAGATACCTATTCCTTACTTGGTTCTACTGTATTAACACTACAACTACCATCTCGAATCTAACCAATTCATACCTTCACCCAACTTAACTATATCTGAGATTCTCAGATCTGTCACCTTACTCAACTATATCTGGGACGCCAAGATCTACCTTTCCTCAACGACACCCTCATACTTCGTTGTATCGACCACGACCAAACCAACCACGAAACATTCGTGCACCATCCTAGTCACGTGAAAACTATATCACGTGCATTTAAGACATTGCGACTGTAACTCGCTACAAGTCTTAACACATCACTTTGCAGTTCGATCTGTTCGCTTGATTGTGCCGCACTGCAAAGAATCTGAGCTTTCGGGCTTCTTTCTATCATGTTTCCCTCCTTGATTTTCAAGCTGTCAAACATATCTGGTGATGTTCATATAGATGCTGCTCAGGCTGCTTCACCGCTCTTGGTACTAGTTCCGTGGTGTGATTTCTATCGACGGGCGAACTCGCTTTACAAATAGACTAAGGCTTGACGAACTGATGTCCATCAACTCAATTTCCATGAAAAGGCTCTGAGCTAGTTGTTTTTGGCACTCTCTCCAACACCACCATGCCAGAGGCTGGAGGCCCCCCTCCTGGGCTCAGCTGCACA